GTGAATATATGTTTACTGATAGCAACAATAACAAATTGGTGTGTTGGGTTTTCATACTGAAATCTCTAATTTTACTTGTTTATATCTCAAAGGAGGAACCAACCTCGGTCAGTATTTTCAAATAGATCAATAAGTCAAAACATATGTTTATGTAAGTTAATATGTAATTATCTACAGTTATATAATCATAGATAATTACATAACATAAATAGAGAATTCTAAAACATTCATTAACCATTCCTCCCAGCCATAGAAATTGATTCAGTTCAGTTATTCGCTGTACACAAAAGTTTTAAAAAAATCACTTGTAGCCCGGCTGGTGTGGCTCAGTGGATGGCGTGTTGTCCCCTGTACCTAGAGGTCACCGGTTCTATGCCTGGCCAAGACACATGCCCAGGTTGCCCGCTGGATCGCCAGGAGGGGGCATGCAGGGGGCAGTCGACTGATATTTATCTTTCATCGACGTTTCTACCTCTCTCTCCCTCTCCCTTCCTCTTTCTCTAAAAAGTAAATAAAAACATATTTTAAAAAAATCAATTGTAAGACACACATTTCAAATTTTGAAATCAGGATGTTTCTCATAATCAATAACCAAAAATTGTTTTGATTATTTACCTTTTATACTAAAAGAGCTTTCATTAACTATGTCTTACAACCAATTCTGCTTCACAGTTAAAAAAGTAGAGGATATTGTTCCACCACATGTCAGAAACATTTTGTAGATATAACTTTATATTACTCAATTAGCCTCCATGACATTTTATGCATTCCATTTATTTACTTTTTGCTATGAAGTATTTATGAATGCTTGTTTTTACCTAAGCCACGGTGATAGAGAGGTCACAGGCTTCTCCAGTATTAGTTAATTTTTATTTTTGAAGACCAAATTGTGAATGATGAACATGTATCTTAGTAAAAAATACATGGAAGCAATGCTATAACACAACCATAACCTTCTGGGACCAGCCTTGCTCCCTTCAGTGAAAATCAAAAGCAACTGCACTAAAATCACAAAAAAGATAAAATCAAAAAAAAAGATCTAATCAAGGATAAAGAATTGTCTTAGGGGTGACTCAAATTCAGATCTTATACAACTTGACCTAAAATGCCGCTTTTTCCCTTTATTTAAAAATTTTTTAAAGAAGTAAACCCAAATTAATATAATAATATGCCATCTTGAATTTGTATGGAACTAACTGCCTTTCTAATTACTTGAAACACTTTCCCATTGTTCCATTATTTCTACATATGGTTCCTGTGGCACAATACATGTAAGCCCAGTGTCCCAATGTCTTTATTTAGGGTGGGAGCAGAATGTAACTTCAGATTGAGAAAGAGGAGTGGATAGAGTACCATCATCACAAAAACAAAGACGACCTAATGTTCTTCAGCCACCTGAAGACGTCCATCACCACATCACCAGCCCATTCTAACACAGCCAGATTGTATAATTCATTCATTTGTTCAGTCAGCCATTCAGAATATTTTAGCTTAGCAATCTTTATGGTGTATCCCTGGAATCTGGAGATGAACACATGTTTTATCTTGGAGGATAGCCTCATGTGGAGGCAGACAAATAACTAGATACTTCCAGTAAATGTGGTAGAGCAATAACATAGACAAACCTAGGGGCAGAGAAGAGGGCATTCATTCTGACCAGCTTGGCTCATCAGAGGAGGAGACAGGGTTTTGTCCTAAAGGAACCAGTGTCTGGCCTGAGTTATAGAATATGAGGAGAAATGGATGAAGTTGCATGTTTTTTCTCTTTACTAGAGCTCATATTTTGAAACTTCAGGTTTAGTCCTGAGCCTTCTTGCCTTATTTCTGTGCTCTTCTCCTGAAATAGTATCATAGATTCTCATGGCCTTAATGCCATCGCTATGCTAATTATTCCCATGTAGTCATCTGAAGTCAATTCTTCTAGCTTCTACATGGGGTTCAAGAGATTTTGAGGCTGATCAAAGAAAAAGATTTGACCACTAGGTGGCGATAGCATACACACATTTTGTTGGGAGCTGCTTTGATTGGTTCACTGGGGACAGTCCCTCATAGCAGGAGCCTGTTCAGAGACAAGGGTTCTGGGCAGGGACTCAGAAGTGGATGGAGGAGGGCACGGGGACTCCTGGGAGAGGGGGATTGGAGAGCAAAGTCGCTGAGCTGCATGGCTTGCAGTCTCTGGGTCAGAGAACTCAGAGGGCAGCAGTGGCTTGTGGTCTTTATGGCCTGGGTTTAGCTATTGCTAACAGATGTAGGGGGAGACTTGCAGAAGTATGCAAAAAAGGCAGACGCTAAATGGCTAAAAAATCTGCTTGTTTGGCCTATTTTAAAAATAAATGGACATGTAAAAATTTAATTTTTTCCCTGTCGGGCTTTTGAACCAATGGGTCTCAGCCTGTAGTGAAGAAATAAAAGACCTAGGGGCCAATACACAGAAACCATCTTTGGCTCATTTATATAGCAGTTTCACATCAGTATAATCAAATGCTATTTAGCATCTCCATTGGGGTGTCACATAAATATCATGAAATTAACCTGAACAAGACAGAACTCCTGGTAATTCTCTAGTTTTTCCTTCTCAGTAAATGGAGCTATCATCTAATATTTGAGGCAGAAATTTAAGTCATGCACGATTCCTCCCTTTTCAATCTAATCCATTGTCAAGTTTTGTCATTTCTACCTCCTAAGCATCTTTCATCTAGTTCCTGCACCCTCATTGCCAACACTTAAGACTAAGCCACAAATCTCTCTTGCTTGGATTACACTAATATCCTGCTTGGTTGTCTTCTTATTTTACTCATATCCCCTTTCCATAAATTCCCCAAGCAGAAACCAGGGTTATCTTTTGAAACATAGCTAGCTCCTCATTTAAATCCCTTTTAACAGTGTCTGGTTCCACATTAAGAACATCCCAATCAACACCACTGCAAGATCGGACCTATGCCTGCCCCTCCACGCCCTTCTCACGCCAGTCCCCCCTTGTTCACCAGCGTCCAGGTGCAGACCCAGTGACCTGTGCAGGGCCTTTCCACCTGGAATGTGCTCCTCGCCCAGCAATTTCAATGGCTGTTTCCTTTTCTTCCTGCGAGAGTTGCCTGTGCTACTTCCTCAGAGAGGCCTCTGTAAATGGCCTAACATAGCCCTCACCCTCCCTACTACCCAATCTCATGATTCTTTCTCAGGGTCTCCATTTATTTCTGGTATAACAATGATCTCAATTTGTAATTGAAATATCACATGTTTTGTTTATTGCTTCAAACCTGCTCTAGACTCTAGGCTTCATGAAAACAGAGACTTTGTCTTGCTCGCTTCCTATTTTGTTTGTTTTATTGCTTATTTTTAACTTAGTTTCTAGTGTAATGCCTGGCACATAATAGAAACTAATAAATAGTTGTCAAATGAAATACATACATATATTCATAAAGAACAAATAAGCAGGGAAGGTGTAGTCACGTGGGAAAGTTTTTCTTCTTTTTTTAAGGGCTAAAGGTATTGTATTATGTTATACGGTTAAACAGCATGGAAAATTTAATGCCTTTTTCAATGAAGTAAAGGAATTCGAAGAACTCGGGGTACTATGAATAGCCTTTGAAGGAAGAGGTTTGAAAATCATTGAATTAAATTACTTGTGATTACATTGAATTAAATTAACAAGACTGGGGGTTATTAAAAAGTAGATTGTAGTTAGCTGTTCTCCAAATTTTTTAGATGAAGAAAGATGAAATAAGAGTATTCATCATCATTAGTTATTTAAAAGGCATATGAAGGAATATTTTCTACCAGGAATAGGAATGAAAGAAAAACTGTTTATCAAGAGGACATAAAATCTTAGAATTCTGGCCCGCCGGCGTGGCTCAGCCGTTGAGCATCAACCTGGGATCCAGGCGATCGGTGTTCGATTCCCGGTCAGGGCACACGCCCGGGTTGTGGGCTCGATCAATGACTGTCTCATCATTGATGTTTCTCTCTCTCTCTCTCCCTCTCCTTTCCTCTCTCTGAAATCAATAAAGATATATTTAAAAAAAAAAATCTTAGAATTCTGACCTTCGATCATGCCTTTTCACAGCGATGATGCAACTCTTGCTATATTTCTTTTTCATGCTTACTCTTACTTATGGGTGCACTGTCTCTGTTTTTGCCCTTGCTAGTGCTTAATGGGAAGGTATCCATTCTGTATTAGAAGTAAACCTGCCTTAATTCAGAGATGGCGGCAAAAGTAGTGATACAAAGAATAAGAATATGATTATTGACCATTTACTGAATGTCTACTATATGCCGGGCATTGTTCTGAGGGCTTTAAATGTTTTAACTTATTTAATCCCATAAGAAGCCCTGTGAATTAGGTACTGTTATTATCTCCACTTTACAAAGGAGGAAGCAGAAACAAAGTGAGGTTCTATAACTTGCCTACCGTCTCCCAGAACGTGGAGTGGAGATTTGAAACCAAGCAGTCCTCACAGTCCCTGCTGTCAACCACCAACCTCTACTGCGTCCACCTATAACTATGTCCCACTCTTTCTTTTTAGTGATCAGAAGATCACTAACGGAGTGCACATGCTACAGATATACTCTGAAGATACCAGGATTGTGCTCATCGGGAGGAAATAGAAGTTTGTAACAACAGTAAATGTAGGAATGTCCCATTAGATTTTTGCTACACTACTTTAAAATCATTAACATTTTGTTAAAATATTTGTAATTTTTATTAGTGGGTAGCACGAACAGTGGACAGCAGGGGTTTTCTTGTCTTCCTCTTTCCCCTTTCCAGATAAAAAACCAAACAGAAGTCTGTGAGCCTCTTTCTGGGAGGAGACATTATAAGTCCATGAAATTTCAGAGTAGAGAGAAGTACGTGGACTCCTTTCTTTCTCTTGCTTTTACCCCTCTTTTCGTTTTTTCACAGTAAGACTTAAGATCTGATGTGACTAAGATTGGAAAGAATTCTTTGCTCTTACAGCTTCATTCGTTCACATATTACTTATTCAACAAATATTTCTGAGTACCTACGATGTGCCAGACTCTGGGTGCTAAGTGGTGAAGCAAATCAGGAAGAAAATCTGTGGATGGAAAGAGAAAATAAAAAACATAAAACGAACACACATGTACCCTCCTACATATGGGTGTTTTTTGCATATATTACTTACTATACACATACGTGCATATACTTTATATCTATTAAATATTTTAAATTTGTATAAATTTAATGTAGTTATTTATGAGCTTATTCTACATATGCTTTATATATATGTATATAGTTACAAATTATCCTAAGTTCCTAAGTGCTGTGAAGAAAATGAACAGGTCCAGTGACAGAGACCCAATTACCAATAGCAGGACTCACTAGAAGGGCCATAGTGAGTCCCCAGGGGAGGCAGGTTAGGGTTATTTCTGGCTTTAGAGAAAAGTGGTAAAGGGTGTTGAAGCCCCTGTGCTGCCCAGCCATGCCCAGAGCTGTGTACCGTGTGAGTGACCAGACGCCCAGGGGGCTAGCTGCAGAGAGACCACAGCAATGTGTTCATTTGACAAGGGCTAAAAATACTGGCACAGAGAGTGGTAAAATCTAGAAGACATTTAGTTCAAAAGTGGTGTTGTGAACATGCCGTGAGGAGATAGAAGAAGCACTTCTGACTACAAAGCTCTGAGTCTAATTGGGTAGAATAAACAGATGCCTGGAAAATGACACCAGAGGCAATGGCCCAAAATGTGCAGAGAGCCATTATAAAGGGAATGAAAAGAGCACGGTTGAGCTCTTCAAGGGAAATGAGTTAGAGATGTGGCATTTACTTAATTGATGGTGGAAGCAGTGGGGATATATTCAGATGGACACTGAAAATAAAGGCTCAGATTCAGAAAGACAAACACAGAAAGGGATGTAACTACTAGCAAAGGAGAACATCAACAAGACAATGAACTGGAAGCTTTGTCCCAAACTTGTTAAGGTGCTACGTTCCTCTTTTGTGCTTATTCCCCTATTTATCAAAGGAGTTCAACAAAACACAAGGACTCTGATAGGTGGGGCACAAACACTAGGCACTTTGTGAAATAACCAGTCTGCTATATGTTTATTGGCAGAAATGTTCCTAGTGCAAAACACCAAACCCACACAAATCTTTCATTCCAAGATCACAAATATTAATTTTGTTCAGCATGAGAGGCCTTGGAACTGTCAGAGTGTTTTTCAGAAACAGTTCAGCAAATATATTTTGAATGATTCCTAAGTGCCTAGGAAGTTACAGAGCACTGGACTGCAAAGATGAAACACAGTCCTTTCGTTTTAGAGCATAAAGGCTAATGAGAGATGGAGAGAGATAGTGTATTCCATGCAATGCAGTATGGTGACATGGACAGAGGACAAGTGGAGTCTCCCAGACAATGAGTAGGAAAGATCAGAGAACACTCCTGGGAATCTGGCTATTTGGCTGAGAATTCATAACAAATGAAAATAGAAAGAAAAAGAAGATCATTCCAAGAAGGGGAGCCACGTGGGCAATGCAATAGGATGAGGTCTGTGCAAAAAGGTGAAAATCTTTATAACATATTATTTTTAGAAACTCCTCATTAATATATGTTTCACTGTTCAAATTCCAAAATAAGTTTAACAAATGCACGGGATGCACAACCTACTTTGACACTTGAATTAAGAGTATATTTCTAGCCCAGACAGCATGGCTCAGTAGTTGAGAATCGACTTAGGATCCAGGAGATCGCGGTTTGATTCCTGGTCAGGGCACATGCCACGGTTGTGGGCTCGATCTCCAGTAGGGCGCGTGCAGGAGGCAGCCAATCAATGACAACTCTCTCATCATTGATGTTTCCAATCTCTCTCTCTCCCTCTCCCTTTTTCTCTCTGAAATCAATAAAGACATATTTAAAAAAAAAAAAAAAAAGTATATTTCTAGAATTAATTTAAACTCCCCAAAGCCATTTTAAAATAAGGAGTTGTTTCGGGGCCCTTCCTTGGGAAGAAAGCAGCAGGAATAGAAGTTTAGGATGGTAGCAGCTTGGATCGGTTTTCCAGTCCTGGCAGCCATACAAGTGGAAATATCTGGGGACCCTGTGATCCTTTGTGACTTTCTAGGAAGGGCACTAACATTTGATGGCAGCCTGAAGAAGGGGGACAGGCTGGACTAATAGTCAAGCATAATGGCTGAGTGTCTTGGGACACCAACGTTAGCAGAAACAAAGAAAAATCGTTTTTCTCTGTCTCCATCTTAGGAACGTGGTGCAGAGCAGGCACAAGGAAGATTCTTCCTTTAACTACAGGAGAAGGGCTTCGAGGAGACAGTGACTGCCGGAGGTCATGCTCCACTAAGCCCTCGAGATCTCTGGGAGGAGCTCAGAGTAACTGCACTTCCAACAGTGTGCTCTGCATAAGAATTACGTTGAGTGGGGGCCTGTGTTAGACGTGTGGTCAGTAAGGGTCCGATCAAGGAAAATAGGATTCCCCTGGGTTATATAAATACCTGACTCCAAAGCAGGGGGTTGATTAAAGCCCGAAACAGGTGATGAAAGAGACAGAAGACGCCAATTAGAGGAAAGTGAGGCCACCAGATTTAGCAACAGGAAATGGTCATAACCAAGCCCAGGCTGGAAGAACACAGGATGAGGAGGGGCTACTGTACCACAAGAGCCTTGGGTTACTTGGTGAGAACTGGAACCATGGCAGGCTTCCATGGTGGGACGTGGAGCATGGAGAGACATAGCTGCTGCAGGGAAGGTGCAGGAGGCAAGTGAATGTCCAGAGAAATGCCCTGGCTTCTCCTTTCCAAGCTCAAGTCTTCTGCCATTGCCCCCCTCCCAAAACCCCTACTGGCAGAAGCCAGCTGTAAGCCAACTGAGGCAGTACTCTAAGAAGGGAGCCTTGGGGTCAGATCTCCTTCTTGGACGTGGAGCCAGGGGGAGCACAAGGAAGGGATCCAAGGGCAGACTGGCCCAAGACCCAACTAGGAGAGTTAAGTTCTACAACTCACAGGGCTATCTTGCTGAAAAAAGGAAGCTTGCATTCTGAAGACTGGGTTCTTAGAAGGCTTGAGGGTAAGAAAAATATCTCTATAAATGTGTTTTTTCTTTTTTCTCTGCTTTGCTTGAGCAGGTCACCATAAAATGGGAGCATATACATGCATACCACAAAATTAGTTTTAATTTGTCTAGAAACACTCATCACAAATGACAAACTAATTTTTCTCTCTAAAAGAAATTGCATTTAAGATCCTATTTTGTAAAACTTCGCCAACATGTAAGATTTTCTGTTTGTTGTGCTAGTGCATCCTACAAATCAGAAAATCCTTGAATTATCAAATAAATGCTTATTTGCCTAAATTACCATGCAGCCTTGACACAAAGAAGTTGGGTTTGTTTTGAGTCTTTGTACATTTAGTGACCTGCGGTATTGTGATAAATGCCATTGCCTAAAACTATTCAGTAGGAAGCTTGGGCACCATCTGTGTTTGTTTCTGTAGGAGCAGTAACTGCCTAGAAAAAAATGTGATGTTCATTTCAAAGATGCAGTATAAACAAAATTCAAGATGATGCTTTAACATAATTATTCCACCTTTCATTTACATAGTGCTTTATGCATCTCAAAGTGATTCGGTGTGCTTTCATTTAACGGTTCTTTGCAGAACTTGTGGAAGTTGGGTATGGGCTTGAAAAGGTATAAAAGCTCAACAATGAAAATAACACTGAAATTAGGCAGCCTTTTAGGGGAAGACTGTAAAAATACATATTCTCTCATCTCCTGTTGATAGTAATAGAAAATATTCCTCTGTGCCAGGTACTTTTTAAAGTATATCACATATATTAACTCATTTAATCATCAGAACAATTCTATGAAGCAGGTATTATTATCATTTTAAGGATAGAAAGACTATGGCAAAGGGAGGTTAAATCACAACTGAAAAAATATGAGCCTTGGCAGTCTAACAAAACACTGTCTCAAGCAGTGTCTCCTTTAAGTATGTACCTGGAAAGTAACAATCTTAATCACAGAGACATATATTTTTATTGAGTTTCTTCTTCTAGAATGTGCATGTAGCTCAGTGCTGTGCTGGTAAACTGGCTCCCTGGCTCTCTGAAAGGGAAAAATTAAAAGCCCTGATTGTTTGTGCCCCTCCCCCCAAATTCACATATTGGAATCCTAATGGCCAATGGGATGGTGTTAGAAGATGGGGCCTTTGGGAGGTGATTAAGCCATGAAGGTGGTGTCCTCTTGAGTGGAATTCCTGCTCTTTCAAAAGAGATCCCCACAGAGCCCCCTAGCTGCTTCGCCACAGGAGAATACAAGAAGTCTGCAACCTGGAAAAAAAGCCTCATCTCACCATGCTGGCACCCTGATCTCAGACTTCCAGCCTCCAGAACTGTGAGAAATAAACTTTATGTTGTTTATAAGACACACAGTCTGTGGTATTTTGTTATAACAGCTCGGACAGACTAAGACATAACATCTGCCAATTTCTGTGGTATAAATACTCACAGCAGTGTCCACTTCAAGCTACCAGAGTGAAGTCACTAAATGCCTGGTTGAGAGGAAATGCACATATATGGACCTCGTGAGCTTGTGGCTCCAGCACACCACTGGCTGATTAAATTACTGTTGTGCTCAAGGTGACATGTATGCCATGGGGGTGATGATGCACCCTTGAAATAAAGAAATAAATAAGTAAATAAGTAAATAAATAAATAAATAAATAAATAAATATCTTTTATTGATTTCAGAGAGAGGAAGAGAGAGGGAGAGAGAGATAGAAACATCAATGATGAGAGAGTCATCATTAATTGGCTGCCTCCTGCACACCCCTGACTGGGGATTGAGCTTGAAAGCCGGGCATGTGCCCTGACCGGGAATTGAACTGAGATCTCTTGGATCCTAAGTAGATGCTCAACCACTGAGCCACGCCCGGCCGGGCTAGAAATATTCTTAAAAGGCGAATTCATTTTATTTTCAGCTGTTTCATAAAACTCAATGTGAATTAAATGGTTTTAGATATGTTCATGCTTAATCACTGCTTGTAAAGAATGATGTGATCATGTTTATTTTTGGTATGTTTTTCACTAACGATAATCAGGCTTGTCTGGGATGAAGTAATCACACAACAGCTGGAGAGCAGAGAGGGGAGAGGGGAGAAGGGAAAGGGGAGAGGGGAGACTAAAACAGTGTAACCGCTCATACGATGGCCCATAGATATACGCCTTGAACCAGCTACCAGACATTTTCCAAACCATAGTTCCTTAGGCCATTTTGCAGCCGATAGGGTTACTAAGGTTCCAGTTAGCAATTTGGAAGGCTTGGGTTTGGGCCCAAATAAGAATTTCATGTCTCTTACAGAATATAGTCACCTCAAGAGCCATTCATGACTCTTTGTGGAGTAGTGGCCATTTGTTTAAATCCCACTAGCCGAGTCATGTCAACTGAACCAGAAACAATGGGGACAGCCAACGTGGACTTCCCTTGACTGGCAACAAGGCTGAGATCCCAGGCATCCTGTACTCTGGCAGTTGCTTTTGCCCAAGCTCCCTCTTCTGCATCCTACCTGTTCCTTCTCCACTATCAACACAGTGTCTGTCTTTATTATTAAAGCTGCCTTGCACCTGGCCAGTGTGGCTCAGTGATTGAGTGTTGACCTATGAACCAGGAGATCATGGTTCGATTCCTTGTCAGGACGCATGCCCAGGGTGCTGGAGTGTGCAGGAGGTAGCTGATCAATGACTCTGTCTCATCGTTGATGTTTCTATCTCTCCCTTTCCCTTCCTCTCTCTGAAATCAATAAAAACATATATATATATATTTTTAAAAAGCTGCCTCGCCACTAAAAATGCTTTGCAAATACACATCCATAGCTGCACACTATATAATGCATTCTACTTTCCCCTTTATTCTCCAACACATATATAGATAATAAAATCAAAGCTTTCTGTCATCAGCTCACCATGAGCTTTTTCCATCTGCATTTTATTTTCTGTTCATTTTTGCTTCTTCCTATTATTCCCCCTTCCCCAAGAAACTGTTTTGAAAAGTATTATGAAATCCCACTGGGGGAATATGAGCATCTCCTGACATTCCTTCCACACATCATAAAAGAAAAAGTTAAGGAAGCTTGGCTGATTGTTGCCAGGGAGAAGTAGTACAGTGAGACAAAGACTTTTGTGATCTTTTTGACAGTCGTGCCTTTAAAAATCTCTGTTAACAACTCCAACCAAAATAATGAAAAAAAAACCAATCCCATTCCTCAAAACAGCAGGTCAGCGGATAGAGGCCAGAAAGCGAGGGAGGCCTGGTAGCCCCTTCCCATTGACAGGTTTGGCAGCGTGTGCCCCGCCCTCGCCCTCTGGAGAGACTGGTCTGAGAAGAGGGATTTGCCAGCTGCTCTGGACATAAACATGGAGGTAGAAGGCTCCTTGCAACTCCTTTGCCTTTTCCACTTTTCTTCCTTCCTTCCCTCCATCCATTCCACTCCCTCCTTCAGTGTTTTTGTAGGGAACAGAAAAGCCTAAGAGCTTACTCTGATAAGCTAATGGCTGCTGGAAGTCTTTGCTGGCTCATTGGTCCTGGGGCAAGAAACAAACAAACGGAACCAAACCTTCAAAGGGGAAATACTTTATCTTTCAAATGGAGACCACTGAAATCTGCCCCACAAAGGGGGATGAATAATCCAAGTAAATCCAAATGTATCTTTTGTTAAACCAACAAACGCACATTTTGCGTATTCTAGATACCAAGCTCTATGCTAAAGATCTAAGAATCCGAATTTGAATAAAACACAGATCTTGACCTTTGGCAGTTTGCAGTCTTAATTTACTAATCGCAATTTACTAATTGTGATTAAATTTCTTTATTTCAGATACTAATATTAATCTATAGCACTGTATAAGCTTTCCAGCAAGACTAAGCCTGAGTTGCATGGAACCATATCGTAGATATATTACAAGATAATTTACAATTTCCAAGTATTTACTGTTGTAAATTTTATTATCTATTCCATACCAGCCCAACTAGAAATCTGAAATGCAGAAAAAGCAATATTTAATTTTGAGCTAAAAAAGGAAAATAAAAAAAAGTTCTATTTCACCTACCTTCTGTCGGTATCTGACCTCTCACTCAAATCCCATCTCTTCTTTGAAGCCATCTTTTGAAGTCTCAGCCTAAATTAACCTCTTCTTTTTTGATCTGCATAATTAACATATGAATATGTTCCACCTATATTTTAATCCGATGGTTGCTACTCATAGTGCACTTCAGAATCACCTGTGGAGTTTAAAAAATACATGTTTCCAGGCTCCAACATCACAAACTTATTCAGTCAAGGCGAGTACGGTCCTGGCATCTGTATTTTTAAAACACAGTACACAGATCACACTCCCAGTTAAGAACTGTTCAAATTACACTATATAATTTGGCATCTTATAACAGCACATAATCTATTTGTGCATTTATATTGGTGCACCCCCAAGTGAACTGTAATCATCTTTTGGGTATAGGCACAGATATATTTACTTTGTTCTCTGTAGCGTAAAGAACTTATTCTGCACTAGTGAGAATTTCCACCCTTGTTGTCTTAAAAAATGACAAGGTATTTCCTTTCCACAACCTCTGTATAATAATACTATCATATCTGCGTTTTGATTAAGATTCTTTAAATAGTGGTGGAACAAATTTGATCACGAGCAAATATAATGTATTGCTCATTCTTGAGTATTGTTTTCAGAGTTTTGTGGCAATTCCTAGAGAGTTTCAGAGAAGGATGCGATTTCTAGCACAATGGCATGAAACTCACCTTGGTTCAAATCCAAATTCTCTTATTTGTCCTATGGTGAGAAAAGCAAAAGGTGAAAGTTGTAAAGCCAACACCAGCAGTAATTAGTCAAGCACTGCCTGATAGCTCATATACAACATGAGGTGTTAGGGAAGCTTCCTTGCCTTTGAGAACTTCCTCAGCACCAGATACTGTGCCTGATATCCTGATAATCAGTTACTCCCAGAGACGTCCTACCTACTCGTAGAACGTCAGAGGGAGAGGCCAACTGAAATGACTTAATCCGGCAGTTTTCATTTTTTTTTTTTTTTTTAATATATCTTTATTGGTTCAGAGAGAGGAAAGGAGAAGGAGAGAGAGAGCTGAAACATCAACAATGAGAGAGTCATCGTTGCTGGGCTGCCTCCTGCATGTCCCCGACCCGGGAATCGAGCTCGCAACCTGGGCATGTGCCCTGACCGGGTATCGAACTGTTATCTCCTGGATCCTAGGTTGATGCTCAGTCTGGTTGGGCCAGCAGTATTCATTTTTAACTGCTGAACAAATTTAGGGCTAATAGCTAAAGCAATTTATACACTTCTGTGGGGTTTATGTGTTCTGCCTTGTAGAGCTGTTTTAAGGGTCAGTGAGAGAGCACAGGAAACCCCAAGTACAGTCCCTGGCATGCACTAGTCAGTTAAGTCATTGTTATTATCACTGATATAATAGTGGTAGTAAAAATAGTCAGCTGACTTTTAGTTTAGTTCGGTGCTTTCTTCCTGCCTATTAAAATGCACAGTACTTATAAAAATATGGTTATAATAGCTAGGAAGAATAACAAAGTACTATTGATAATCTTTGAATTCATTAAATAAAACCAAGTTAATGCTGCCCTGGCTGGTGTGGCTTGGTTGGTTGGAGTGTCATTCTGTACACCAAAGGTTTCAGGTTTGATTCCGGGTCAGGGCACATACCTAGGCTGTGGATTCCATCCCCAATCAGAGCCAGCATGGGAGGCAACCGATTGATGTTTCTCTTTCACACTGATGTTTCCTTCTCTCTCTCTCTCTCTCTCTCCTCCCCCCCACCCCTGGAATTAATAAGCATGTCCTCGGGTGAGGGTTAGAAAAATTTAAAACAAAACAAAACAGAAAAACAGCAAGTTACTGTTGACCAGAAAACAGGAAGACAGCATGTCATCCTCTGGCACATGTTGGTACACAATCAGGCCTTAATCTGGATTCAGATTTCTCCCTATGAGGGTAGGCCAATGCTCTTTAACCTATCTCTGTTTCTTCGACTGCAAAATGGGGACAATAAAATACCTCCCTGATTGGGTTATTGTGAAGAAGTCATTATATATGAAAGCATTTAGAAGCCTCTGACAAATAGCAAGCTTCCAATAAAGGTTATTTTATTATTACCAACATTTCATTATTATTTATAGATAAGGTTACCACAATTTGTCATGCATACTGGGGACACCTTCAAGAGTGAATGGTGGTGCTATTAATAACTGCATTGGGACAACAGGCATAATAAAGCAGAATGCATGGTCACCTTATCTGCAGTATATTTTCTAGCTGAAAGCAAATTCCCAAGGGAGTGTTATATTGTACACGAGAATTTACATGGAGCTTTCTGGAAAGGTGTTTTGTGTGGGTCAGATACAAGATGGACAGAAAAGCATGGTGCCTCCTCCTTCCGACTCCTCTGAGACAAACAGAAGGAGGCAGTTGTCTCTATAGAATCTACAACTTAGCTGAAGTCTCTCCTAGTTTCTCTCTGAAAACAAGGTCCTGGGAATGAACTTCCATTTAACATTTTTTATTTTATTTTAAGTATTTTCAAGAGAAGCTTTCTGCAGTATCTCACATAATTCCCTGACTCATTAAACAAAGATATACACTGTAATTTCTACTCTCCAAGTAAGTCTTTTTAAAATAAAAGTGTGTATAGAGAAGAAATCAGAAGCTTCTCTTCTGAATCACCTCTATCCCTGACCACTCATCCAGTCATATATTTATTCCTCTTTGTGTTTTAGAACAAATTAAAATTTTAGGAAGGAACAAATAATCACGGTCCTAGCCTGGTCCATTCTGCTCCATTCCACCCCATTTCATTCTACAAACATTTATTGGAAGCCTGCTACACATCAGCGCTCTCGCCAATAAAACTGAACTTTCCCTCTAATACACAGAGGTGATATTAGGAAGGACAATGACAATAACTCTTCAGACAAAGGCTCCATAAAGATCCATTCAGGTATGGCGGGTGACATTTACTCTCCTCAGGAACATTGTGTTCCCTGCTCTCCTCCTTATCAGAAATCGTGTGAATATTTATCACATTCTCTCGACTAAATATATTTTCTTATTAATGGATTATAGTTTCGGTTTTTACTCTGTAATGCAGAAATGCATAGCCTTAAGTTGTGGTGATACAGGACACACGAAACTGTGTGCATTCGAGCATCGGTGCATTACTGCTCTGGGGCTACAGTGTAGAATAAAACGGAGAATTTCTCACTTGTTTGATGTTAATTTCATGTCCTACTTAGTTTCCATCAGATGCAAAGAGCTGCTTCATCCATTGAAGCATTTCTTTTCCGTCCTCTAAGGAAGTGTTCTGTACCTGTCTAGTAAGCAAAGCGGATAAATGAAATCACAAAAGGTTTCTATTCTACGAGGGGACTTACCTCCATTGTTAAAAACATTGACCCTCCAAGCAGTCAGTGTCCAGTTCATTCCAGCTTTCGATTTTTCTAGCACACATCTTCACCTACAGTTCCAGATGAGCAGAACAACTTTAGAGCATTACACACTTACACAGATAGACATCTATATGTAAGGCACTCCCAGACGGGATATCAATTCGGTTCATGGCAAATTTAACAACAGTAGCAGCTGTCAAACGTACTCAAAACAAAATAAATTATCCATCCAACCTCTTGTACTTAAGTGCCTTTTATATTCTGTGTTTTAGCAAAACAGTTTAGCTTTAAGCAGCATTCAAGCTATGATCGGGCTCTCCTGAGGAAGTTTTTTATGAGATTGAATGAAGATAATGACAACCATTAGTCATCGCATTAGCATAAGGCATGAGGCTCACTACAATATTTATAAGCAGCTAAGCCATGACAGTGAAATGATGACATCCTATAAGGCGGGCAGGATTTTGACTACAGCTGACTGCTGTTTTGTACGGGGGAGCTGGTCTACGCCTGGTAGGAGTGTATTTAACGGCATGCTCATCACAAGACCTCATTGTTTTCCACCACCGGGTACAAAGCTTTATGTCCTCTATCAACCCAAAACAAATAGTCATACTGCTTAATGGCTGTTCAATTAATGTTTATGTGCTACTTTCACACCCTGAACTATTTGATGAATAAACTCTTAGAAGCTATTTGAGAACTAACTTTCATGGAACCTCTACTATTATTAACAATTCCCAGAATTCTTACAGTAGCTCAAACTATCAGCTAGGGAATATAGAACATACATTGATATTTTAAAATCTACACTCCCGCAAGATGACAGAAAAATCAAACGCTGGAAGGAAATGATCGATGGAGCTTGAGCCTTGCTGCATTCAAATTGAAGATCAAAACAGGGTTAAAATAGAAATAACTTGGTCAGACTAAGTCAAAAGGTGAGGCTTGGTTTATTATACTAGAAAGGCTCAGCTTATGTTTCTATTGCTTTTTTAACTTATAACCTCACACCTATTGATATTTCTACCTTCCTAATACAAGACATAGCAAAGCAGTAGTTGATTGTATTAATTCAACATCCTTCCTTTGGTAGAAGTTTTGTAAAATTACTGAAAATATATTTTCACTGAAAGATCGACATTTTTAAATTTATAAGAAAAAGTGATTTCTCGCTTTTGTAGTTATTTGGATATGGAAGAATTATATTTATTCATTCTTTTTCATTCTAATACAAGAGATCTGATGTCTCCAACACTTGGGCAATTAGTTGATAGTATACATTATTGTCCCATACTAGTTGGCGCCATTAACAAAGGAAAAAGGAAGGCAGAAAGGAAGGGAGAAAAGAAGGCAGGAAAGAGAGAATGAACACAAGAACCGGGAAAATGAGAGAGAGCGTGCATTTCCTTTTGGGCATTAAGGATACATTCACACCATGCGTGGGATTTACAAATGTTGATGTATATGTTTTAGTGGAACTGTGGCTGCCTTCTTCTTCCTGCCCTGTGGTTTAACATATCAACTTGACATTCATAAAAGGGACGAATGAGATAACAAATTTCAGAAATGTCAACTGTTCTTGACAACTTTCTACTAAGAATACAACTGAGAAATCACAAACTTATCACCTGGTTGGTTCAAGTTTAAAGCTAGCTACTTTTGAATATCAGGATTAAACCTTGCATATTTGAGTTTATTTTGCATTACTTTTTAAAATTTATTTTATTTTATTGTTGATAGTATTACAGATGCCTCCCATTTTCTCCCTTTATTTTGTATTTCTTAAACACTGTTTCATTGAAATGTATGTAGCTGGGTTGATTTGAATTTGATTAGTTTAGTACTACAGTTTTATTATTTGTATTAAGTAAAGGTGGCTTTATGGTCTATAATACATTAAGAAACATTTTAGCAGAGCAATTGACTTTTATTATAATTTTAAATATATCATTACTTGACATTAAAACCAAATTCACTGCACCTTAACTGAATTTTTTTTCTAATTCTACATATTGTTAGATACTAATTAAGATTCTAATTCATGTCTAGTCTAGTTTTGAAGCTACTGAACAAGTAATATGTGACATAAAATTTTGAATGTGATGGGCTCACATTTGGTACAAAAACTGATTAGGTATGAAATAATAAATCCTTAATTTTAATCCCAATTAGAAATCCATATAGTATGTTTCTCCAGTTATTTTATAGCTGATTTTCATATGTCAAATGTTAAAGTAGTGGAAAATATTTTAGGATATAAAATATTGGGAATAGGCCTTGGGTGTTGTGTTAATATAAGACATACATCATTGATATTAAATTTACTCAGAACTATTGGATGATACTTAAGTGTTTTATATCATACATTTTTTTCTGTTAACTCCACTGTAAAAATATATTTTAAAATGTAAGAGGAATTGCAATAATTATAAGTAATGCTTACATTCTCCACAAATTCAAAGCAGAAGACAGGGTTGAAAGTTTGTTGGCTAAATTTGGCAAATGTCCTATTTTTAGATTATCAGTTTAATAGATAATACTTGTTTCTAAACTTCCCTGTTTTAAAATAAGAAAAAGATAAACTGTCAAAACTACCTAATCAATGGAATTAAAGGCTGGAAAAAAGAAAATTTATAGAAATTCCATTAAAGTATTAAATTAGAATCTCTCATTTGCTCAAGTTCTGGTAAGATCCAAACCTTTTGAAGGGATAAGTGTGCCCAGCATTAAAGATATTGTGAAATAGATAATCTATACAATGTAAGCAAAACCTTATTTTGTTTTCATTTTTTGATCATAAAGATCATTAATAGCTTATTTTGTGCTCCAATAATTTGATTTTGAAATTTAATTCCATTGTTATATATAGTTATTGAGAATTTAACAGACTGTGTCTTGTTCTGAAATTTCTGCTCTCAAATTCTGTTCTATCTATTCGTACATTAATGATTAATAATGAATAAAACAACTACTATACCTAGGAAGCAACAGCCTGTTAAGTTAAATGATTATATTTTTATGTTGTCTATGGTCCTATTAAGAATAAAAATATTAGTTATATATACAAATCACTTGTGAACTAAGGTATGTGTCTTTTCTACAACTTGATGAGTCTATAAAATTGAATACAGCTGCAATATATTAATGTTAATCAGGGTTACTTTAAGAAATAAGGTAAATAAAATAAAACTTTTACTATATTTTTAACACTATTAAAAACAAATCTATCCTCAGAAATAAGAAAATAATGCCCAATTAGATATTTACCTAATATCATTATCAAATAATATATCTTTGTAAATAAGCACTTGCCCTATAAACACCCTGCAGCATATAAAAAAATCTTACTCTCTTTTTTGGGGGGAAGGAACATTGTAGACATAATTAATGTCATCTCTCAGTTATACTGCAGTTCTAGACCCTTCCTTCCCCTACATTGGGAGAGGGAGGCAGCAAGAATGGTCTCATCACCAAATATATATATTTGTTATACTATTTGAAACTTAGGTGCTATATCTAATTTATATAATGAGCTCTAATGTTTTAATTAGTTACCTATGTTTAATTTAAAAAGGGCATTTCCTGATCTCAGAAGTTAACCAGAAATCTGTGTGGTTCTGAGCACACCAGAACCCGAAATGTAGAGCACAGTTCAGCTGCCTGACTGACCACAGGAGGGAGGATTCAGGACATCATGTCAAATTCAGGAATGAGGTTTGACCAGGAAAATGAGTGAGCCTAAGACTCTAATGTGCTGCTTTTATATTGGGAAAGGAGCTAGTATATTTTCTGTACAATGTAATGCAGCAGATTAATTGTAAAACAGTAAAATCTGTATTGATTTGCCATGCATAACTTCAATGGTGGGTTTGGGACATGCAGGTATTTCGGGGTCCGAGCAATGCATTTTAATAATAAAGGGGAACAGAGATAAATTGGAATAACAGTATCCTTCCAGATGACTACACTCTCACAAAAAAAGCCCAAGCCTCTCCACTGCTAATGAAATTCTTTAGTAAATTAAATCAAGATCAACTGCTGATCTGTTTAATTTAGACTCAAATGTTCTGATGACTTTTTCTCAAAATAGGGTGCTTGATTTAAAATTAGGAAATTGCAGTGACTCTTTTTGGCCTTTGCAAAATGAGCCAAATTTAGATATTGAAACTCACAGGGCATTTAAAAATCTCGATTATTCAACAGTCATAAAGACCCCACCCCCGTTTTAAAGGTGGAAGGGCTTATGTAAATATAGAAAAGTGATGGCCAAAGTTATGCTAATTTTTAGCTAGTGGTAGAATAATTCACCATTTTTTCTTTCATTTATTTATTATTATTATTTTTAAATCCTCACCCAAGGACATTTTCATTGATTTTTAGAGAGAGAGAGAGAGAGAGAGAGAGAGAGAGAGAAATATTTATT